GGCTTGACCCTACTGGCATTGGTGGAGGAGTCGCTAAGCGACCACTCCTCTCCGATCTTGGCAAGCTCATTGTGAAGGCGAGGAGGCGCTTGGCAACCATCTCTGCGGTGGTGACGGAGCAGCTGAGGGCCTACGCGGCGGCAAGGTACGGTTTGCTGTGGACCCATTCCGACGCCGTGTCGGACTTGGCGAACGTAGAGCGGCAGGCGGCGTTGTGCCGGTCTTACCGCGCCTGCAGCTGCGCCACGCGCTCCTTGAGAGCGAGGGCCATCGACACCCACGCGCTCCTTGAGAGCGAGGGCCATCGACACCCACGCGTCCAAGGTAATGGAGGATGTGGCCCCGCGCCTTCATGATCGCCGGTGAAAACACCTCCTTGACGGGGAGGTGGTTGAGGCGGGACAGCGACGCGGGCTCGTCCTTGACGCGACATCCGATCTGTATGACATGGTTGCGCGGGGGCAACGTCGACTCCTCCTTGACGAGGCACCTGATCTAGACGCCGCGCTTGCGCGGAGACGACGTCGATTCCTCCTTGACCCGCTGGTGTGGGACTCCAGCTCGCGCTTCACGCGGTAGTACGTCTGGGACAGTGGCTGCTCCTTGACGCGTGCCAGCGATTGTGGCGGCAGGACATGTGACAAAGTGATACGTCTCCAACATATCTATAATTTTTTTATTGTTTCATGCTATTATATTATCAATCTTAGATACTTTATATGCAATTTTATATCATTTTGGGGGGCTAACCTATTGACTCAGTGCCCATACCAGCTGCTGGTTTCTGCTTCTTTTTGGCTTTTCAGAAAATCAGTAACAAACGAAGTCCAAACACGATGAAATTTTATGGTGATTTTTTCTGTACCAGAAGGGACCCTAGAATGTCCGTGAGGAGGCCAGAAGATCTACGGGAGAGCCACGAGCTCACACGACGCGCCCCCCAGGGGGGCACCTGAGCTTGTGGGTCACACGCAGCTCCATTTGTCCTAATTCCAGTGCTATAAATTCCCATAAATCTCCAAACCAACAGAGAGTCACCCAAAACACTTTTCCGCCGCCGCAAGCTTCTGTTCTTCTGCGGTCCCATCTGGAGGCCTTTTTCGGTACTCTTCCAGATGGGTAATAGATTACGGAGGGCTTCTACATTATCCTTATTGTATCTTCAATGATGTGTGTGTAGTTTATCGACCTACAGGTCCATAGCTATTAGCTAGATGGCTTATTCTTTCTCTCTGATCTTCATACAATGTTCTCCTCAGAGTTCTATTCGATGTAATCTTCTTTTGCGGCGTGTTTGTTGGAAGATGAGTTGTGGGTTTATGCTCAGATTATTCATCGAAAGTAATTGAGTCTTTGCTGAACTTTATTATGCATGATAGTTATAGCTTTGTATTTCTCTCCAATCTATCCATTTGGTTTGGCCTACTAGTGAATCAGCTTGATAGGAAGAGAAGAGTGAATTCGCTTTTGTAAAAACGGGGCAAGGAAGAGTGAATTCGCTTTTGTAAAAACATGTCACGGAAGAGTGAATTCCCTTTTGTAAAATAACTTTACTGATCAATGTGAGTATCTGATGTTAAGTTTATGATTGAATAACATGAATGTTGAACTAAGGACTAGAAGTGAGTCACCTTGAGAAGAAGAGAAGAGAGAGCAATAGATCACAAGTGCACCTTATTGATAAGATTATCCTTATTGAGGATGCACAGCAAGACCCATTGCACCACTGGCATCTTGAGGACCCACACGAAGATATTCACCAGTAGCCTGGCGACCCGAGGAGTTGGTCACCAGAATTCAGAATTCAGCAACAACAAGAGGATGAGTAATACCATGAGTGGGCGAAACTGGTGGTAGGGCATCTAAGGGTCGAACCTTTCACATTGGGATAGATGTAGAGCTCTCCATTGCCGGGGTAGGACTCGCCCCCCTCCTCCTCGTCCTAAGGGGAATCCCCAGCAATGACTCCTTGGTGCTCCCGCCCTCCGACGACATGGAGATGTGGGTCTGGTAGCGGAGGCGGAGCGGTGTTCTCGGGAAGTGGAGGGTGATAGGTCCATCTTGCATCATTATTTCTTACTATAATTTACCCTATTTTAATGTTATATTTCATATTGTGGTGCAATTCTAATGCCCTTTTCTCTCTTAAAATGCAAGTTATACTAAGAGGGGAATCACCGACAGCTGGAAGTTTGGACCAGAAAAAGCTATAGAAGATATAGCAATTCTCCGGAGCTCAAAACGAAGTGTGGATTTTTGGAGAATTATTTTGAAATAGATGAAGAATATTGGAGCAAAGAAGTGCCAGAGGGGGCCCACCAGCTAGCCACAAGGACAAGTGGTGCGCCCTACCCCCTAGTCGCGCTCCTGCACTTGTGGGGCCACGGTGGCTCATCTCCTAACGTCCTTTGGCCATAAATCCTATATACCTTAAAATAATGGCAGAAAGTTTTTGGGACTTCTCTCTGCCGTCTAGGAGGTGGAACTTTATATAAACCCTACTTCTTCTCTTGTGCTACATCTTTGTATAAAATCTCAGATTGGTACCTGAGAGTGCTTGTAGTGTTGATTACACTTTGTAGTTGATACTAGTCGGTTTAATTAGTGAAAGATTGTTATGTTCAGATTGTTAAACATATATTTATAACCACTGATTATTTAGTTTTTTCTTGATTTTCTCATTTTAAATTCGTGAACTTGCTCAATTCCTCAAACTTTTGTAATCTGCGTTTTCTTAATTTCAGTTCTTTTTAGAATTAATGAATATTTTCCAAATTCGCGTTTTTTCCAAATCCATGACCATTTTTTTGAATTCATGTAAAAAATTGAAGTTCTTAATTTTTTAATTCATGATTATTTTGTTATTCGTGAACATTTCTCATATTTCATGAACATTTTTAAATCCATAAAAAGATTCTGAATTCATGGACATTTTTCAAATTTGGGAAACAATTGAAAACTTTGCAAACAATTTTTGTATTTCATGAAAAAATTATTTCAAATTCAAGAACACTATTTTCAAATTCATCAGCATTACTTGAATTTATGAGAAATTTGGAATTTGCAAAAAAAAATGAAATTCAAGAAAATTCCAAGTTCATTAATTTATATAAAAATCATGAATATTTTATAAAACCGATTTTTTAATAAAATCGTTGAATATTTTTTATTTTCACCGAAATATTGAAAATTAACAGAAAAAACGATCAGTTTTTTCCTGAAACAGCGGAGCTCTGTAGTAGCAGAAAAAACGACTGGAACTAAAACAGAGTATAACAACTAAAACAGAGTATAACTATCGATGGAACGAGCACACGAGCGAGGAAACTAGGCCGCGGGCCATGCGCTCACCTAACCCATAGTTTTAACGTCCGTTTGAGCATCTCCAACACGCGCGCTATAAACGCGCCGCGCCTAAAAAGTAGTGGTTTTAGCGCGCGCTACCGTTCCTGGCGCTCCAGCTGACACGTAAAAATCGCCCGCGCGGCATATGTAGTCTGCGCGCGGGCGAAAACGTCGTCGCGCGCCGCTTATTTGTTGCGTCCGCTCCCACGCGCTGGACTCTCGAGCGTTCGCTCTCATTCCACCAACCCATCCAGCCGCGCCGCCCCATTTTTTACGGCGACCGTTCCGGCGCTTCCCCGGTCTCTTCCCGCGCAGGCGCGGCTTCCTCCCTCTCTCTCTGGTCAGCGCCGCCGTCGCGCACGGCAGTCTCCGACGAACAATGCCCGGCCGCCCACCGCCGCTTTGGCGCCCGCAAGGTGTTCGACAAAACGCCCGCAAGGTATGTATTGCTTCCAACTTCCACTTTTTTGCATGAAATTTGGTGCATGTTTTTTATAGCCTAGTTTTGAACATTTTAGATGAGTTCGGGCTATAACTCTTCTGAAGAAGAATTTGATATGGAAGAGGAGGAGGATCTTGCAATGATCCTAGCTATGCACATCAATAAAAAACCGAAGCACGGTGGTTCGGTTATGGGTCGGCAGAAAATTTGGAGGGATAGGATTGATGCCCACAACAGATTGATGAAGCACTATTTTGTGGAGAATCCCACATACCCCGAGTCCTACTTTCGTCGATGGTTTAGGATGAGCACCGAGTTGTTCAGGCGCATTGCAGAGAAACTAGCGAGCCATGACCTGTTTTTTCAGCAGAGGATGAATGAGTTGTAATAAATTAAACTATTCATTTAAACTTGGTTGTGAATGAGGTTTGTGATTTAAAAATTATGCCATGTCTTTGTTTTGTGTGAAAATGCAACAAATGTGGATGCGCGGCTGCTCTCACGCGCTGCAATTTGACGCACCGCTGGAGCTGCACGCACGCTGCATTTTGACGCGGCTGCTGGAGCCAGCGCTGCGCCCCGCGCCAAACCTGACATTGCGCGCGCCGCGCGTTGGGTGCCTGTTGGAGATGCTCTAAGACAGAGGCACAGATCGAGCTTACCATGACAAGGGTTGGCCCAGAAGCGATGCCCGCGAAGTAGCTCAGGGTGGCAGTGGAGCTCGATCCGTTCACGCCGTGGACCACCGTTTCATTGGCGGCTGGCAGCGGAGAAAATTACGATGGAAGCTCATTGAAATTATCGTCACATCATCAACAATCAGTGTTGATTCCGTGCTGGCACTTGTCATGGTTTTCTCCGCTGCCAATCTCTTGGAGCTCGACAAAGTAGGAGAATGGCGGTCCACCTGTCAAGCGTGCTCAGCGGTCTGAGAGAGCCATTTCAAGGTAGCAGCACGGTGGGGCAGCTTGCAGCCGTGCCGGAGGAGAGCACGGCGGGGCAGCTTGCAGCCTTGCCGGAGGAGAGCACGGCGGGGCAGCTTGCAGCCGTGCCGGAGGAGAGCACCACTGACTTCACTGCTCCCGACCCGCCGCGCACTTCCTACCGCGAGTGGATTCGGAGCATCGACGTGCCCGAATGGCACACATGGCCGGCTGTCTTCTCCCACTCCCAGTCCGGTCATAGCGGATCCAGCAACTCAGGTTGCAATCACATGTCCAACCACTCCGGCTGCTACTCCGCGTCCGACGGCGCCCACGAGCTGACGATGGTCGCTCGCCAAATGGTCAGCGACGGTTACACCCAGCGCACGGTGACTGCATTCGACATGGCATCTCCCGCCCCAGCATCTGGATACGGCAGCGGCCCGGACCGTGCGCTGGACGGGCTTCTGAAGAGTTGGTTCTTCCAGCTTGACGTGGACTGGATTCTCGAAATCTACAATCACAGGTCAGTCTTATGCCCCCACAAGGGCCGCAACTTCGTAAAGAGCTGGATTCGAGCTGTCATGGTAATTGTAGCGAGTATCAAAGAGCTGCTCGACATAGCCCACGAGACAAGCGCGGTCGCACGGTTTGGCAATGCGAGCATTTCAGCAATGCTCGTCTTTGTTGATGACATCGTCCAAGTTTACAAGCCCGGGAATCCACTGGCCGTGCTAGACATGTACATCTGCGTCTCCAGTGCGTCACGTGACGTGCTTATGGTGCATGTGATCTCTTCCGAAGCTCAAAGCATATTAGGTGAGATAGCCAACTCATTTGACAGGGAAGGAAACAGGTTAATCGAGTCCATATTCGGCACGGTAATGCAGATGCATCAAACACTCATGAAGGACGATGAAGAATGGGCTGTCCACATTCTGCGGGGAGGAGGCGAGGTTCAAATGAACATTCGATTTCTGGTGAGTTACATATTATTGTTGAGGAAAGCCAAGGCTTCGACAGAGAACTGCGCACCGAGCCACAACACCGAAAAGCTCTGTGACCTGATACAAGACACGACCGATTATCTGAAGGATCTGCTTCTGAATAAATCGGAATTGTGCTCAGATCCAAGCCTCAGGTACATGTTCCTGCTCAACAATTCCTATTTCATAGCACAGATGTTGGAGCCATCGGCACCGTTAAACCTTGAGCTGCACTTTGGGCGCCACCGTGAGCTTAAACTTACACCTGAATGTGAGAAACATATGGATAGCTATTTGGATGCTTCCTGGGGTCATGTGCTGTGCTACATACCGAGATCGAAATTTCCCGGACTTCTCCAACGCTGGATGAGGAACAACACCTCTGCACGCGCCCCACTGGGTCAATTCAAGTCAGCGTTTTATAAAACGTACCGGGCTCAAAAGTTCTGGAAGGTTCCAGATCCTCAACTCAGAGATGCGCTGCGGAAAACTATTGCTGAGAGAGTTGTTTCAGGCTACCGCGTCTACTTGAAGGAGCATCCGGAGCTAGAGGAATACGCCTGTCACGGAGACAGTAGTCCCGACGAATTGGAAGAGATGTTAGCACAGCTATTTGAAGGATGAAAACTGCTTCAGCAACGCGGCCTGGAATCGAACCGTGTCACCAAACATGTAAGAGACGATAACTCAAAATTTGTTGTTGTATTTTGATATGTATCCTTTTTGGCTTTTGACGTGAAGTTGTATTTTGAGTTAGCTTCTTGATTAAGCGCTGCCAATGTCTTTTGATATGATATTGTAGCTCCCTACCTAAAGACTTGTACTATTCAGATAAGGGTGTGGCTAGGTCTCAGTCAAAAAAAAAATGAAAAAAATTGTGCACAAATCTCCATGCAAGATCAAAGGAATATAACATTGACTGAGACTTCGCGAAGTCTCAGTCGACTGAGATTTAGCAGCACCGTTCAGATAAAGGAAAAAAACTCTGTAGCAATTAACATGGTTCATTTTGATGGAACAATGGTGGGAAGATATATATTTTTTTCTCAAATACGCACAAGCATGCGTGTCATCACATTAAAGAAGAAATCGGCAAAGAAGCCGGATACAAGGCCTTTCAGCCATTACAACGCTAATCGCAAGAATTAGGTGCCACATCCACCAAGCACACCACTCTGCCTATTATGATGCACGCTAGCCTAGTATGAGGCAAGCCACGTCACAATCAACGCCGAGACCTCTACAACAAAACAAAACCAAGGGCCAACACAAACCAACGTATCGCCACCCATTAGCGCCAAGAGGGAGTCAGCAAGTGAACGGTAGGGCCTGGGCGGACCGCGGGAGGGTGTCGTTGAGAGAGCGCCGGCGATGGCGTACATTGCGCCCAGGAGGTCCATGCCCAGAGCAACAGCCGACCATGACTCAAGCCGCACCATCGAGACTCCTTGAGCAACAAGACGACACCTTCAAGAAGGAAACGACGTCATGCCGCCGCCTGGTCCGAAAGCTGGACCAAGGATTTCCCTCGACTGATCAAGTTCAAAACAACGCCGTCGGGGAGGGAATGGCGCCCGCGGGCATCGCCGTTGTCAGCCTCATCTCGAAGCATGGATTTCTCCAAACCCGGATCGTGGAACCTAGAGCCCACACTGGAGTTGCTCGAGGAGGTGACGAAATTTCACTACGAAGTGGCCCAACATAGGCTAGGTATTAAAAAAAGCACCACAAAACATATATACAGATAAAGAAAAAGACACAGATAGAAAATAGTAAGATGCAATGCCACACGTAGAGTACAATAAATCGTAAGATTTGAAAGTGGGCCGGAGATATAATTTTACGAACAAAAGAACCAGCCTTGCAAGATCAATCAGTCTACAAGCACCGGATATAATCCTGGTCATTTGAAAATA